ATGATGATGATGATGATGATGATGATGATGATGATGATGATGATGATGATGATGATGATGATGATGGGTTTGTTTTAACTGTTGTGGGGATGGAGAAGAGAAGGAGGACAATTTGGGAAAGTGGAAACTTTCTAAAAGCCGGAGCCATGGGTTACTAGATGAAGAAATAATGTAGGGGCTACTCTTGTAAGGATTCTAAACCATACCTAAAAACCACAACCTAACGAGCGGAAATATATCTCGTATCCACATCTTACCATGCTCCAGAATTACTCTTGCTGACTCTGTATGGCTTAACGTTGCCTGGGCCAACAACCACTGGTAAGCCTATCACCTATCACTCATCAAATTTATGGACTTTCTTTCTGGGCATGAACCATGTGGAAAAAGTGATTATACTTGATAGTATTCTCATTTCTTGAGGTCTCGCTTAATGAAGCTTGTGAAAAAGACGCGATGAATGTCAAATATTATTTACTTTGATATATTTCTTCATTACGGAGTTGGGATTCATTCCATGAAATAGCGCGACAAGGCATACGTGGTAGGGCGCAAACGTATAAAAAAAACCCATTTACACGACGAGCTGTAAATGAAATAATAATCAGAACATGATAGCGAACCGCCCCCCCCTTCCCTGTTTAAGCGTCGTTCTCCTTGATTGAAATCCAGAAGCCAGTACACGTATATGATATCTATTAAGAGCATCGATAAGATGTTTTCTACAGTGGGCTGACTGATAACTAGATCTATAACTTTGTCTCTCGTATTATCATTAGAATTTCTGTAGAATGCCATTTCTTACCGTAAAGAAATAATTTTCTAAGATAAACATCATTCTAGAGCTTGTGGATTAGCTTGTTTTCAATCAAGGGGTATGCGATTCTTTTCAACATTAATAAAAAAAATTTCGGAAGGACTCATCTCTTTCCTCACACCTGGGACAAGCATTCTGAAAAGATTTGTTATTATAAAAGAAAACGCGCTGTTAGGAAAGATGTGAGATCTACTCTGTTGATCTGCAAGAGAGTCAGTTAGGTTTTCTTTAATTTCCCCCTGAAGACTGGCTAGAAGCAGTAAAAGAACATCAGTGAGAGATCACAGTATACCATCGATCAAGACGTAAGAACAGCGTAATGTGGAATGCGGCGTTCTATTGCTGCGTAATTTGTTCCCTGTTTCTCACTCAGCGACACCTCTGTGGTGCAATACTGCGCCCCCCAGGACACGTCGATGAGACCCCAAGGAAAAACAATACTCCCTACGTAACAACGTTCGAAATAAAATTGGAGGATATACTGAATGCCAATGCCATTCCCACTGGTATGGGATTCGACGTGGACAACACAGAAAACGTTTCTCAATTCGTCATTGAAGGAACATGCAGCGATGACTGTAGACCAAGACACTTCACAGCAGAAGAGAAGTGTGAATGTGTACCTGTCTGCCGGATATTGAAGAACTGTTGCGAGAACTTCTATGATAGATGTTACGGTCCGGGGGATTCTGACAACATACCAGTCCTTCTTCGCGACGCCGTCGTGGTGTGTGCCGCAGATATGAGTGTCAACATGGTTGACAAATGTGCGTCAGCTGAGATTCAAACTGATGGCGACAGCGGTGTCAGGTAGGCAACGTGGCGTCTTGGTAAAGTCTTTTTTTTTTTTAATTTTAAGATCTGTCACGACGCGGTAGAATCAGGTGCTCGTCAATTTTGGACATGTTGAGTTATTGGCATTATCTGAAATCGTATCTATTTGCTTTAGCTTCAATGTAAAAATTGCCCATCTATCTTGAATAGACGTCAAGATATGTGATTGAAGGAGAGGTCGCCAGGTTTCAATGGAGAAATTAGTTAGAAAATGGCAGCAAAAGTTTGGTAACTCCAATAGCTAAAGTGTCCTTGAAAACTGAAAAATTACCAAATTTGTGCCTTTAATCAATGTTTATCAGTAAAATGCTAATGGAAATGTGTTTTTATATGGACATTAAAGAGAATGAGCCAAACTGCAAAAATCAAAAATATATTGCCTAACTGGAACAAAAATGCCTGCTTCTC